CTTAATTAAAATTTTATTTTAAAATATGACACTGCAATCAGTGCTTTTGTATATGTCTAGCAGTTAAAGTCACACAGTTGTCCTCATATTTCAAAGAGGCATTCATTAATCTCTCAGGAATTCACTTGTTGTGCTTTATGGATTGATTTTATGTTATGTTTTCACAGAATTAAGAGAAGATCAGAGGTGTTTAGGTTAGACTATTTCACACTGTCTAAACCTTATCCTGTTCCAAAACATTTTGGATATGTTTATTCATGATGCTGTTTGGATCTTCAGAGAGAAAAACAAAACAGCTGGTTTCCTCATGAACACACTGGGCTATTTTAATAAAAATAAAAACACATTAGTGCATCATTAGTAATCTTTTAATGGGAATGTCAGTTGTTGGGTTTAGTGCGTGAGTGGTGTTGGTGGCCTGTGATACACAGGAGGTCAGACTAGATGATCTGGTGGTCACTTCTGGCATTAAACTCTGATTCTACTACTTTCTCGACATGTTATTGTTAAAACTATACAAATTATTAGTCAACTAGAGATTTAATGGTCTCCCTAGAAGCAAGATCTGACTCAGAATGCTCCACTAGGAAGCATGAGCCCATAGAAAACTCATTTTTCTTTAACTCTGGGCTGAGAGGTACAACACCTCAGTTGTGTTCGCTTTTGGGAGTGAGGTGCAGGTTTCATGGATGCAAAAGTTCACGTTAGACCAAATTTATATATGTCAAAATTCTGAAAGGAGGTGTGAACAGCTCAACTGTTCTACTTATTTATGTCCCAATACTCATAGGCAAAAATTCTCATTGAAGTCATAGAAGTAAAAAATGTCATGTTTTTATGTATTTTTCATTTGCATTTCTTATGCCAGTGTGAAATATGGCTAGCACAACTGTCCCTGAATATCTGTGATCTATGTGGAGATCTTGATATTGTAAGACTTCTAAACTTGGGCCGAAAGGAAATGGAAAATAAATGCTAAAAAAAAGCAAAATGTTACTAATGAATCTTTAATGTGTTTTTATTTTTAATAAAATAGCCCAGTGTCTTCATGAGGAAACCAGCTGTTTTTATATTTTCTCTAAAGACCCAAACTGCTTCATGAATAAACATGTCCAAAAAAGAGTTTTGGTACTTGAAGCTGGGGAAGATATTCCAGCCCCAAATAACTTGATCTATGATTCTAGTAATGTGTACAGTCAATGGGAGTTTTGTCCAAGGACTTACAGCCAGATTCTGCCTCCTTCCTGATGGTGAGTAGTACTTTTCTCAGCAAGTAATTGTACTGAATGGGACTACTTTCAAAGTGAGGTACTACTAAACTTCAGTAAAGATGGCAGAATCTGGCCCTAAGTCATGACTACAGGACTTGGCACAATAGTAATAAAATCCTTATTAATACTGATGTGGTGGAAATGGCGGTTTGGTTTTTAATGGCAAATTACAATAAAGCATGAGGTATCTGGCTGACTGTGGCAAAGATAACTTTGCTACTAGTCTGCAGTAAATGGAACCCAGGGCTTCTACAGGAAGCCACAGCAACAAGGAGGATTAACTCCTACAATATCATAAGAACAAGATCATGTTATCTCAGGACAGTCCAGAAGATAACTCATGTCACCACTGTATAATGCTTTTGAATTGAAGATAACAATAACACCTGGGAAACCAGATATGATTTTCCAAAGCATATAGACACAGGAAGGGCTGATATCCACCAAATCAAATGATTAAAAATAGTAAATCAAAAATAAATAGATAGCATTTGAAGTATGCTCATAAATAGTTCCTGCCTACGGTACACTTGGTTTTCGAGATACCTTGTTTTAATCAAATTTCCTTTTTTCTCTGCTAGTCACATTTGCTCTATATGAATTCAAGCTTGTTTTACAAGACACTCCATTTTTTCCAAACAACAGGTTATTATAAGGGGGGTTGCAGTACTTCTACCCTTACTTCTGCGCTGCTATTGGCGGTGGCTTTGCCTTCAGAGCAAGGCAGCTGGAGAGCGGCAGCTGCTGGCCGGGAGCCCGGCTTTGAAGGGAGAGCCACCACCGGCAGCTGCACAGATTTAAGGATGGCATGGTATGGTATGGTATTGCGAACCTTCTGTGCTGCTGCCTACAGAGCTGGGCCTTCAGTCAGCAGCTGCCACTCTCCAGTTGCCCAGCTCTGAAGGCAGCAGCGCAGAAGTAAGGGTGGCAATACCGCTCCTGTCTAAAATAGCCTTGTGACCCCACCTTCAACTCCCTTTTGGGTCAGGACCCCCAATTTGAGAGACACTGGTCTCCCCTGTGAAATCTGTATAGTGTAGGGTAAAAGCACACAAAAGATCAGATTTCACTGGGAGAGACCAGATTTCACATTTCGTGACACGTTTTTAATGGCCATGAATTTGGTAGGGCCTTACAAATAGATTACCAAGATTATTGAATAACTTCCCAATTCACATCAACATAATAAAGCCCATGGTTTTTTAAAGATCAGACATTGCTGATCAAGCCGTTTAGTTAACAGAACAGGTACCTCACGGAGAGAGCATTATTTCTGTAGGTTCATGTAATTTGGTTTCAATAAGTGGTGATTCTTTTGAATATATTGGGGGAAAGTATGTATGTATAGCAGTCATTTACGCAGAAACCTTCATTTGAAGGATACCAATTCTGGTCCCAGAAGAATCCACTGAAATTCTTTTTTTCTATATTGAATTTGCATCAGACTTACTGAAACAAGCAAGCACTAAGAGTAGCCTTAGAATGTCACCTGTCCTGCAAGAGATTTCCTACCCCACCAGGGAATTTCCATTGAATAGGTATCAGTGAGTTTGAGAAAGAAAGGAGACTCCCTTCCTTCAAGACATTCTAAGTCTCCAGGATCATGAATGTTAAAGCACGGGGCTTGAGCTTGCCATCCTCATAATGATTAAGTAGATTCTGAGTCCATGTTCTATAGGCAGAGCATGATTTTCATTCCTTCCTTCCAGACCTATACTTTTTGCCAGAAAGGTTTTGTGATTAGTTCCTGGGGGTGTATATACCTGTACTGTGGATGTCCCAAAATAACAGAACTTGTTTTCACCCCAGAACTACATAGCACATCTTAGCAGAACACTGCACTGCAAACATTCAAGGGCCTTCCCATCTTTCCTGAATGCTCTTCCCAGGCAGATCCCCTGGTAAGAGTTCACTTGTGCTCTGGTTCAGCAATGCACTTATGTGAGTGTATGACTATGCATGTGATAGTCCCACTAACCTCTAATACTCACATATATAATGTTACACAGGGGTTTACGTGTTTTGTTCGATTGGAGCCTTGGAGATGAAAGCAGCTCCACTCTCAGAGGGTGAAATTCAGTTTTGAGGGTTCACAGGGATTAAAAGGTGCAGAGGATCTTTGCAGATCTTGCATTAGGGTGAGTTGTACCCATCATGCCACAAAGCAGTTATGGTTTATCCCACCCCTGAAGTGATTTAAAGCTGTCTCAGATATCAGATGGGTTTCCTCCACCAGCTGAACTGATAAATGTGGGCAATTGCGTAAACTGTCTCTAAGCAATATGTAGGAAACTGTATTTATATAAACCACAGTGTATGGCACAAAATGTCAGCCTTTCACACTGCATGGGTTTTAAGTTTCAAAATTAATTGTAAAGTTAATACGGTGCAGTTGTGAATTCCCAGATTGGCATATATTAATAAAATACAATGTACAGTGTCATGGAAGTGCCAATTCAGAAAAGATATATTTTAAATATCACATTGTAATTTAATAAATAAATTCATGTGATTATTGAGTTGTCACTTGATACATTTTTAAGGACCTGTAACACTATTAACTTGCATTCAAAATAATGCACAATTTTAAAATGCATTTTGTTGTTTTAAATGAAGCAGCATTTCTTAAAGAAACCATATTTATAATTAAATGTCTCTCTTTCAGAAAATGTTGGGGGGTGTTTCATTTTGAATAAATCTTACATTCACAGCATTAAATCAAATATTGCAGCTAATATGGAAAATTGAAATGGGGAAGACAGAGTGAAGCTCTTTTGCTATGATTTGCATGTCTACTGTTGTCTCGTTATTTCGTATTTTTTCAAAGCTGTTGCATTATGTTTTCATGGTATTTTCATTATATGGCCCAGGATCCTTTGGATTTAGGTAATGCTACTGTTAAATCTTTTTTAATTAAGAGCATTAAGTTGCCACTTGGAAATGTTACTAGTTATTTGCACCTGTGCAGTATGTATTAAGATTGGTATGTTTGGTTTGTGTAAAAACCAATAAAAAGAAATGGAAAAAGTGGAGTATAAAGTACTACCATAGCAAGATAGTGAGATGTCATAAAGTTAATGATTTGTTATACTAAATGTAGAGAATTTTGGAATTGTATATAGCTTCTTTTTACTATTCTTTGTATTGCACCAAGTAAATTAAACTTCTTCAAAATGTGGTTTGATATTGGTGTTTTCAATGTACATTTTCTAGAAATAGTTTAAACAGAGGATAATAAACAATTATTTCCACAAGTTCATCTAAAAAAAATGCCAGAATTCTCTCAATCATATTCCTTATGTTCACAGTCTTTGTCACTACTTATGTTTGCAAAAAAACTTAGTGTGAAAGAAAGCCTTTTGTACACAGGTTTCAGTATTTCACAAGAAGAATTCCTTGTGAATTTTGGCTTGAAAACTTTAATGGTAGGTTTAGAAAGCTGGCAGAATGGAAATTTGCAAATCGGAATGTGGTATCCTGTGTACTGTGTATTGATGATGATGCATGAATAAAATAGATTTAAAAAGAAAGACAGTGATGTGTATCTCATGACATAGGTTTGGTTTATTGCACGTTTTTCACAGAATCTCTGGTGGTCAGTTGAATCTTTCAATAAAAGGTCTTATGCGTGTCTCTTGCATGACTGTTTATTGTCTCATTTTGTATCTGTGTTCCATGTGTAATTAATATCCAAATGTTCTCTTTTTTTTTCCTTTTCCCTTTTTGTAGAAATTATTGAGCCTACTACCTCTAGTCCTGTCTCAAGCCCAGGTCAGTATCCACATACATTCACAACGTATGTTTGGGTACTCTCTCTCTCTCTTCAGGAATCATGACTTTTACATCGTCATATCAATAAGTTGAATTGATATTGGGCAGTATTGTTTCTGGTACTGCTAGATTGTCTCTTTCCTGTCTTTGTGCATTCATTGGTCTGTCCTTCCTTGAGCTGTATACTCTGCTCTCTTCTTAGTTTCTTTCTTTGAGAAAACTATTCCGGTTTGTTTCTCTCCCGCCTCCCCTCTCTCTCTGTCCGAAGATTATGCAGTAAATGCATACAAGGGGGCTTAGTTGTGCATTGCCTTTACTTTTAGTACTCTTTGTGGTTTTAGTTGTAGAAAACTGACTGTTGGTTTGTATTACTATAAACAAGGCATTTGTTTTGCCTTTTGTAAACCTTTTTCTGTAATATCTACCAAAATGAAGGAATGTATTTAGCTTTTCGGAAAGAAACATTCCAGATCATCACCACTTCTGAAAAATTCATGGGAAGGATCTCAGGGAAGTCATTGCTGTGAGGTTCTCCTCATAGAACTCATCTTGCTGAAGGAGGTGGAGTTTGCCTCCATGCAAAAAAGGTTGCAGAGCCTGCCCCTACACTTGGCCCCCAGGATCTGTGAGAGGCGAGGATCATCCATACAGAGGCCTGGATCCCTAGGAGATTTCCCATTGTTGGTTCTCTAACAGTGTGTCTCCATTGAAATCACTCTAACGGGGACTGCCTCAGCCTTGACTGTCCCCATAATGCAGTGGGAGGAGGAACTCTGTGGAAAAGATAATATAGTCCAAGTCTGTATCATTTTTTCTGACTAATCTCCACAGGGACAGGGCAGGGGGGAAATGATGTGTCCCCTTCCAGACCTTCCCAGTTGAACTTTCTTCCCCCAATCCATGCAAATTGTTCTCCACCGGGTCTGATGATGGTACCATGAGTGGCACAAAGGTGGCTAAATCTCCCTTTACACACAAGGAGTGAGATCTGCATGCTGAGAGGTCCCTCCAAACAGAAATCTAGGAGGCACAATCTGGACCAATAGTTATACAAATTTTAGTTCCATTTTTGTATATCACCGTGGTTGTCTTTTGCACAGTTAAATTTAAGGATTTTTGTAAAACCATATTTTCCTAACTAGTCATAAAAACTGACTCCACACATATGATGTGTGAAAGGAAAACACTTTTCACACAATTATTTTTTAAGAAAATGGTTATTATAATATACCAAGAGTTTTTTATGTCATCAGATTACTGATCCGCAGTGTAGTCAAATATGGCTTTTAAGAGGAAACTGAACGCAGTTAATATACTGCACTGTGTTTCACAAACATGTACTGTTTCTTAGCAAAAGTATCTGAAGGAGAGTCAGATGCTTCTGGGAAAAAAGAGGCACAAAACTTTCCTTGAGAGAAGCAGGATTTGGGCCTCTGCTGTAAGACACGGTAAGAAAAAAAAACAAAGTAAAATGAGTCAGTTAACCCTCTACAGGAGCAGAAATGGGGGGGTGGAGTCAGTGTAGCCTGGCTCCCTTCCCTAAAGGGACTGGAGACAAAACCCATTGCATTCTCTGTGGCCCTATCTTAGGGGTGGGCAAACTACGATCCGCCAGCCGTTTTGACCCAGCCTTTGAGCTCCCGCTGGGGAGCGGGATCTGGGACTTACCCCCGCTCCGGCACTCTAGCCGGGGAGCCCCTCTAGTTGGGGGCTGCTCCAGGCGGCTCCCGGAAGCCGCGGCATAGCCCCCCTCCAGCTCCTACATGCTCCAATGGCCTGCTCCAGTGGAAGCTGCCGAGGCGGTGCCTGCGGACGGGGCAGCAGGCAGAGCCACCTGGCCGTGCCTCCACGTAGGAGCCAGAGAGGACATGCCGCTGCTTCCAGGAGCCGCTTAAGGTAAGTGCTTCCTGGAGCTTGCACCCCTGAGCTTCTCCCCATGCCCCAATCCCCTGCCCCAGCCCTGATCCCCCTCCCGCCCTCAAAACCTCTTGATCCCAGCTGGAGCACCCTCCTGCACCCCAAGCCCCTCATCCCCAGCCCCACCCCAGAGCCCGCCCCCCCAACTGGAGCCTGCACCCCTTCCTGCACCCCAACCTCCTGCCCCAGCCCTGTTCCCCCACACACCCTCCGAAACCCTCGGTCACAACCCAGAGCATCTTCCTACACCCCAAACTCCTCATACCCAGCCCCACCCCGGAGCCCAAACCCCCAGCCAGAGCCCTCACCTCCCCCGGCACCCCACTCCCCAGCCTGGAGCCCCCTCCTGCACCCTGAACTCCTCATTTCTGGCCCCACCCAGGAGCCCACACCCCCAACCAGCGCCCTCACCCCCTCCCGCACTGCAACCCCAATTTTCTGAGCATTCATGGCCCGCCATACAATTTATTTTCCCAGATGTGGCCCTCGGGCCAAAAAGTTTGCCCACCCCTGCCCTATCTCCTTTTTCTGTCACCGTAATAGTCACTGGTAACTCAACAAGGTGACATATGGGCTTTCTGCTTCCCCTCCCCCACAGGATTTACTAAAGGGGAGTACAATATAACCCAAAGTAAAGTGTTCACTGGCTAATAATGTAGAAGTCAGGGAGATGCAATAAGGAGGAGAGAGTTACAAAAGAAAAACTAAGAAGCACATTGAACCTTCCCATCAAGTTCCAACCTTGAGAAGGTTCTATCAAGAGAGAAGCTGGGCAGACTGTGGAGGAGTGTACTTTCCAAAGTTCACAGATACAGAGTCTCCAGTTTCACAGAGGGGCTGCACTTCCATGCTACCATTTGGATCTTCCTTCCCTCAAGAAACTGTGCTGCCTTTATCCACCCCAGGACCTCCTACACTGGCACTGCAAAGCATTTCAACTAAACTACTAAGAAAGATCAGTAACATGGATTTATTTAAGACCAGAATATGGCTGTCAGAAAAAAGGATAGGCAAAATAAAGCCAAAACAGGAGTGAAAGGGAAGGATGAACTTGACCTGCAAAGAACAGACACAGGTTGTACTGAAGTTAAAGCCAAGCTAGTCAGGCGATTTTTCACGGTTGTTATAGGCCTCTAGGGAGTGAAATATAGGTAGATCAAGAAATGTTTTTAGAGATAACAGAAGCCTGTAAGGAGTCCAGAACTTTGATATAACTCAGATATTGAATGGCATGACAACTGTGCACAAACTTCACATTGAATTATTCTTTCTATATGTATTGCAAATTGCTTTGTTATACAGTGTGTTGAACAGTTTACATGGTCTGATGCTATTCTGGACCTAATTCAAGGAAATGAGGCAAAAATGATAAATATTATGTGGTTAAAGTTAGATGGCATCTAATATTATTCAGTTTGAAAGACTTATGAGGGTAAGTACTGCAGCAAGGAGCACACATTTCTAGTTTAGGAAAGCTGACTTTGAAATAACATAAAAGGTTGCAAAGACTTTTTTATGGAATTCTTAGTAAATGGGGAAATCTACCACAGACAAAAAAATATAGTCTAGAAACGAATGAAGTGAGAGGCCAGTGTCCCAATGTGATATATTTCTCTTAATACTGAAAGTGGGCACAAGAGACCACTGTGGTTAGGCAGGGATGTAAAAAGGAAGGTAAAGATAAACAAAAGGCTTTTGTTTGAGGTACCGTCTGCAAAATAGGAACAGCACACCTTTAAAGCCAAAGAGAAGAAAATTAAGAGAAGCAAAAGATAATGAATCTCTAACTGTATGATACATTCCAATTTTAAATAATTTAAAAGCTGAGTTTAAAATACATTTGCAAAATGAAAAATGTAAGAGAGAGTTGATCTGTTGACAGTACAGAAGCAGATTCAAAAATTGCAACAAAATCAAACTGGTTAAAGAATAAGGGTTCCGTCATAATCCTTCCTCGTGAATGTTAGTCCCACTGAAATCAGTATAGCAGTTGAATTGTTCTAAGTTTGCCTTGCATAACTAGACAATGTTCCTGTGTATTTCTTACACTTCTCTATTCTGAGTATGTTAAATATCTAGGGTATGCTGTTACTATTGCTATAATATCATGTCATTTCAAAGGCAATTAAAAGTTTTCCATGAGCCCCAATATGCCTCAGTCTCAACAGAGGAGGACAACAACAGTGGACTAGGATAGTACTGTTGCTGAGGACTTTGTTTATGGGGGGAAATGACCAGAGTAAACATTTTCGTAGAAATTAAAGATTAATAGATTAACATAAGAGACATCCATTATTATTTTTCAAAATGAGGGTAGTGAAGTCCACTTCATATTTTATAAAGTCTTTGCCACATCAGTTTCTGATTCAACTAACAGGACTGGAAAATTGAATTAACACCATTATTCACAAAAATAAGGTCTATGAAATGTAGCAAGTGATAAGATTAAAAGAAAACTATACTGTGATCAGCCCTGCAGGTTGAAGGTATAAAAGGTAAGTGGTGTTTTCCAGTATGATAAATTGTACAATGCATTTAAAAAAAGAATGTATTTTTTCTATTGCAAATGCCATATCTGAGCTTATTGGTAGCCATTTCGGTAAAAACAGTCATGTGACCCTATAAATGTTAAAGCCTAATACAAGAGACTGTATGCATATTTCCATCTGCTTTACCACTGGTTGAACTATCAAAAACCATTTTAAATATTAAACTTAATATAAATATTAAACACGGAAATTCCTTTTCTAATTACATTTTGATCATATTAGCATTGTGGCAGGTTTACAGTCTTCTCCAAGTTTTATGCATAACTTTTTTAGCAAGATGGTACACTGAGATTATCAGGCTTTAGACATGAAAACTGAAATTTAAAAAATGTAGGTCCAGTCTGTTTCTTACTGAAGACAATGGCAAAACTTTCTTCATGATGTAAGTTTGCTGCTACTTAAGATTGTTTATTCATAGAGCAAAGTGTTAGTCAAAATATAGAGTGCTAAACAAACAGTATCATTTCAGGCATCATCAGAGACAATTTTGGGAAGGATTTAATAAAGAGAATTTGAAAAACAACTAAAATTAAG